TGCAAATTTTGTTAATTCAAGCTACAGGTAATTCCAAAACCAAAAGATAATTAATATTTCAGTGAAATTTAAATAAAATTACAAAAGTGCTTTATAATATACCCCTAAAAATGATAACACAGTCACGAACAAACATGCTCTACAAGTCATGTGACTTCCCATTATAATAAAAACAAACATACGGTACCTGGTATACTATTTCAAACTCCTCTACTTACAAAAAGATGTTGCTGATGTAGACACTAATAGGTTTTTATTGGAATTTCTACTTTTACTAAACCAGAAGTATTCAGACCAACTGAAGAGCTGAAGGAGAACCTTTTATTTATTTATTTATTTAAATTTATTTATTTATTTATTTATTTATTTATTTATTTATTTATTTAAATTTATTTATTTATTTATTTATTTGTGAAGCCATGGGTTCAAGGTTCAACATGAGAAAAAGTGACCCAATATGATTTTCAATAGTCATATTTGAAGACCCAAATGTGACAAAAAACGTAATGCCTGGTCTAGGATAAATCCAGAAAAATAAAAACAGTCGCATTGTCTTTTTTTCACTATTTTTTTTATAAAGATGCGCACCCAAGAACCTCAGTATCCTGTAAAACTTGCATTAAAAAAAGTCTTCAAAATCGCCTGAGAAACAGAAACCAACCGAACATTCCACACATTGAGTATTCATTAAAACTGATTGACAGGAAATTGTTTATAAAATACAGACTGAACTGGTACATGATACGTTAAAGGGGAACCGATACTATAAATAAGGGTCAAGATGGCCACCGTATTAGTATGCTAATCCGAACCAAGCAGCTAACATCGTGGCGGGAGCTCCGTGAAATATGCCATTTACGATGTTTGGAGATCAAGCTGTGATTCCAAATACATATCCACGGGGGCATGAATATGTACGCTAGCGATTACACTCGTCTGGTTGGGCTTTTGATGTATAAATGTTGTTATTTGCGGTCGAAACGTGCCGCGACCAGTGAAAATCACGAGTTTAAAATGGTGGCTAATGTATGCAAAATTCCTGTCAATCACAGTTTGAGTAAACGAAAATGTAAATCCCCTAGATGTTTATTCAATCTACAAAGCTTGTTGGTTTACAAACAGCATTATCATTACGTAATTTGTCTATGTCTAACCACCTCCATGGTCTAACCATCGGTAACACTGGGACATGACGATGTAAGACAGTAAACAATTTCAATAACATTAGGTTACGGG